CACCCCATAAACTTCAAAAGCTTGGAACTTGGAACCAACACCTTTCTTGCCTCTTAGTGAGTCCCAGACCCTCAGGGGAAAACAGCTTGTTCTCTTAAACATAATTACCACACCCCGGTGGTGACGAGGGCTCAACGGAACAGACGGGCCTCCTTAGCCACTTATCAAGTGCATCTCAGTATCAAAAGATCCGTAGCGTGGAGTTCTGGCTCCTCAGCAACATTAGTCCCTGTAATACTTAGTCCATTTTTTCTGAAACCATCAAATGCAAGTTTGAAAGGGGGACAGTCACACACATTAGCCCTGCCCACACCCAGCCTGCTCTCCACTAGCCTCCACCCCAAGGCCAGCCCGGAACCCCTTCGCCACCCCACAGCACAGAGGAGGCAGTAAGTGATTGTGGGGTGAGCTACTTGGGAAAAGTTACCAAGTCCACAGGAATCACAGAAACCATCATTTCCCCAGAAAAGCAGGCAGTCCAAGAAGAGACTTTGTCTTGTTTGGCTACTTTTTCGTGAGCTGTAGCACTGATGTGTTTTGGTTTGGGTGACAGTTTAATCCTGAGTTAACCAAAGTGACTCTCAGCAATTAAACACAGGCCTCTATACGTTAGGGCCAAGACAGCATATCAAAGAGCAGAGACATCACTTTGACAACAAAGGGCCATATAGTAAAAGCTATGATTTTTTCAGTAGTCATGTACAGATGTAAGAGTTGGACCTTAAAGAAGGCTGACCACTGAAGAATTGAAGCTTTTGAATTGTGGTGTTGGAGAACACTCTTGAGTGTCCCTTGGACTGCAAGGATATCAAACCAGTTAACCCTGAAGGAAATCAACTCTGGAAAAACTGATGCTGAAGCTGAAATTCCAATACTTTGGCCACCTGATGTAAAGGGCCGACTCATTGGAAAAGACCCTGATGCTTGGAAAGATTGAGGGCGGGAGGAGAAAAGGGTGACAGAGGATGATATGGTTGGATGACATCACCATTTCAATGGACATGAGTTTGAGCAAACTCCAGGAAACAGTGAAGCACAGGGAAGCCTGGAGTGCTGCAGTCCATGGGGTCGAAGAGTCGGACACGACCAAGTGTCTGAACAATATGTCACCTCGGGTGTGAAAGCAGGTTGAGGCCCCAGAGACACTGTGGGTGCAGGTAAGCTGCTGAGGAGCTGGAGGGATTAGAGACAGGGGGGCACCCGGGGGGGCACCCTCCAGTCCACCATGGAGGTAGACTTATAGACCAGCCACCTGGAGAAAGCAGCAGGACCTGCCTGGAGGACACGGCGGCCCAGGAAGACACAGGGAACCCTCAGAGCAACCTGAGCGCTGGGTTTCCTCCACACTCGGTGGACTTCATTCCGCAGGTGAGGCCTCAAATCATAAACACGAATCACCCCGGTGGCCTATGACCCTGAGCAGGAGGTGGGAAGCAGCACCCATGTCCTGGAGGGTGACGCACCTGGCTGCTTATCAGGTTTTAATTAAACATTGCACAGCTCTGATCCAGATCAATGGTCGCCTCCCTGAACTGAAAGCACAGCCCAGGACAGGCCTGGAGGAGTCCTGATGACTCACACAAGACCAAGACCGAGCAAACATCCTTCCCAAGCTGGTCAGGCTCCAGGCTGCAACTGCCTTCAGAGGGAGGTGAGAAAGGACATCCCAGACCCCCACAGGTTCCCACAGAAGGCCCCCCCCCCACTAGCTGCAAAGACCCTTTCCTGGCAACAAGAGCGACTAAGAAAGTGTTGCTTTTCCCACGGTCTCAGAAAGTTGAGCAAAGATGTGCTTATGTCACTGGCCCCTCCCAGCCTTAGAAAGCAAGAAGCCCCAGAAAGCACTGGTCCAGACCACGTGCTTGGTAGAGGCTACTTGTTGTCCCTAGATGGGCTTGAACTCAACTCTCGGTATCCCACCACCACATCCTGTGTTTGTCTGTGTCAGTGTTGTTACTTTTAGACTGTGAACTGCAAATATCCCACAACAACAGAGCATGCTGCATGCTCTCTGCAAACCCAGGCATGTCTGCTCATTTCTAGGAGACTGAGTGATGGAAAGTCACAGGTAGGAACTTGACCTGTGGAGACCGAACACCCCAGAGACAGCCCAAGACGGGGACAGTCCTGCACTGACCCTTGGACACGTGCACTGGAACCGAGGCGACTTTGAGGGGCTGTTGGTCCTAAAGCCACAAGGGGAGAAGGTGGAGGCTCTACCCCAGGTCCTGGGACCACACTTCCCTTCCCAGGACTCTCTCCCACCTCTGTCCTGAGCCTCCCTGCACCTCCTGCCTGGTCCCGCTGGGTTCATGCCCAGATATTTGGCCTGCAGGAGAGAAGTCCTCCCTCCCCGGATCTGCCAGCCCGCATCACCCCGACTATGCTCAGGCCTCTCTATGAAGCCAGGCCAGCATTTCGCAATAAAGACTGAGTCGGATCAAAGTGCCCCAAGTGACCAGATAGCTTGCAGGGAGCTGGGAGATGAGTCTGTCTTCCTGAGGCCAGAACAGCAGGAATGCTGTGTGGGTGGGAGTGGGCCTTACTAGTAGTGCGGGGATGTGAAGCCGCAGGGAAGCCAGGGGTATGAAGGCCAGAGAGTGGAAACCTCAGCAGCTGCTCCCAGGGATCAACACAGAGGTCACCCGCCCCCACGGAGCCACATGGCAAACCTGTGAACAGTGAGAAGAGATGTCAGACCACACACATGGGTGAAGTGGGCACCTGGGCGGGGGCACCTGGGGGCACCCCATGGGGTCTGACCCAGAGGGAAGGGCTGGAAGGGACGACACAGGTCCAGGCCTCCCTCAGGTGGAAGAAGTCTGCCCGAGTGATGACCCGGCCCTCCACTCATTCAGCAAATGACATCTCCCGAGTGCAAGGCCCGTCCTGTCGTGGAGGGCTTCTGTCTGGGTCTGTGTCAGTCGCTTCTGTCGTGCCTGACTCTTTGTGACCCCATGGACTGTAGCACCCCAGGCTCCTCTGTCCCTGGGCTTCTCCAGGCAAGAATACTGGAGTGGGTTGCCATTCCCTACTCCAGGGGATCTTCCCAACCGGGCTCTCCTGCGTTGTAGGCAGATTCTTTACTATCTGAGCTACCAGTGCTGGTCGTGGGGGAAATCAGAAACAGCCTTGAGACTTCCCAATACTTAGATCCTCTTCTAAGGGAATTGGTGGTGATATTGATGAACGTGGGGGCTTCCCCGGCGGCACTAGTGGTAAAGAATCCGCCCACCAATGCAGGAGACACAAGAGGCCTTTGTAATTTTTTTAAACTATGCATAAAGTGATTCAACATTCAGAAGATCTGCAGAACTCAGTAAACTAGTAGTTTCCAATTGGCCGACGCATGGCATTACTGAATCACAAGCGGGTGAAAGATCACTCAGAGCACAGGAGCAACCAGTGGATTTCAACGGAACAGGATGAAAGTTCATTGACATGGTTTCCGAGTCCATACCACAGTGAAGGTTTAAGAAGCTACCACCTGTCAATTTTTGATATGGTATCCAAGAAGAAGAACCACAGTTCTCTGCAAGGGTCATTGAACATTCTCTCCTTTGCCAGGTGTGCATGTCATGTGAAGCTGAATTATCATATACTTCAAATCAAAACACCTGCCCACAGACCAAGTCCAGAAGCAGACAAGCTTTTATAAAGCCAGGCATTAAGGAGATTTGCAGAATTATGTTTTTTAGGTACTGTGATTCTTGTTTTTTGTCTTGGAAATGTAATTATTTTTTTATGTTGTCGTTTACTTGCTAAGTTATGTCTGACTGTTTTCGACCCCATGGACTGCAGCCCGCCAGGCTCCTCCGTCCATGGGATTTCCCAGGCATACTGGAGTGGGTTGCCATTTCCTTCTCCAGGGGATCTTTCTGACTCAGGAATCAAGCCCTCATCTCCTGTGTTGGCAGGTAGATTCTTTACTGTTGAGCCACCAGGGAAGCCCCTAATTATTTTTTATAAAATGACACTGTTTTTGTTTTTTCGTTTCTTTTTTGCCTGTTTGCAGGGCGGGAATAGAGAGGCAGACATAAAGAACGGACTTGTGGACACAGGGTGGGAAGGGGAGGGTGGGATAAAGTGGAAGAGTAGGCTTTGACACACACACACTACCGCGCATAAAACAGGTAGCTATAGGAAGCTGCTGTAAAACACAGGGAGCTCAGCTCGGTACTCTGTGACAAACTAGAGGGGTAGGATGGGGAGTGGTGGGGTGGGAGCGAGGCTCAAGGCGGGGGGGACACATATATACTTACAGCTGATTCACAGGGTGGTACAACAGACACTAAAGCAATATTGTAAAACAATTACACTCTAGCAAAAAAAGTTAAATAAAATTCTACATTCCTTACAAAAATTTATGAATACATCAAATACATTTACATAGATTAAAATTTTATTAGTTCTCATTTCAAATGCAGGAAATATTGATAGACAATTTTAAAGGCCCTTCACAGTCTCCAGTAATTCTTAAGTGTATAAATGGGACTGAAGACCACAAATAGATTCTGCAGGGAAGGGAATCATTGCCCTGAGGTCACAAGGGGAAAAACACACAGCTCAGGAAATTAAAAACATTCCCTCTGTCATAGTTTCCTAACCAGCAGGTTGCAACAATTCAGTCATCACAGTACTGTGTTCTGGGAGACAGGCACAACTCTAAAACCCTTATTGAGCTCCCTTTCAACTTTCTTTATGAAGAGTCCACGCAGGCTCTGATCCAGAAACCTGCAGACTCCTGCTGGCCACTTACCCCTTGCAGGTGAGGAGGGCGGAACACAGAATATGGCAGCCCATCCACCGGACAGTGTCAGGCACATGTGGCCCGGGCACGCTGGCCCGTGGTACCCCCCGACACCGTGTCAGCTCCACACCCACGGCCAGCGCTTCTCCTGCCCCTGCCCCCGTGGTCTTTCATGGATACATCCTCCCAATGTATGATGTTGTGGGGACACACATTCCGGCTATAGCACTTAGTTTATCAAGTCTTTCTTTCACAGGTCATCATCTAAACCCAACCCAAACTCCCAGGGAGGAGAGGGCTCAGGGCTGGTGGTTTTACTGAGTGTGGAAGGTATGAAGACTGGAGGGGGAGGAGTGGGAACTGGGGGAGGAGTGGGAACTAGGCGAGTCCAATAGGCAAGCCCAGAACTCATCCCTCTCAAGGCTGTCCACCCACTTCTCTGGAGCTGGTCCGCGGCTCCAGCCAGTGGGGATGAGGGTCTGGCCATTCCCAGAGCTGCTGGCATCAGTGCAACCAGCTGGCCAACCTGCTGCCTGGTTCTGGACTCCTGTTCCAACAGGACCTGGGCTCCAGGCAACCGCAGGGTGGGGAGCATGCAAGGGGAGGGACAACCCAGGTGCTTTTAAGTGCCGATGAAAGCTGGGGCCAGAACGCTGGCTGTGGGCTCATGCACCACAGCCACCTCCATGTGCTCTCAGCCACCTCTCCACATGCCTGGCCACCTCCACATGCACAAGGCCATCTCCACGTACACACGCCACCTCCCTGCATGCCTGGCCACCTCCACACTCACAGCCACCTCCTGGCAATGGTTGTGGCCGAGCAACTGAGCAGGGAGCAATTAGCTGAGTTCTAGGAGGCCTTCTCCCTGTATCACCTGGACGGCAACAGCACCATCCCCATGCAGGAGCTCAGAACCATCCTGTGGTCACTGGGCCCAAACCCCACCCAGGCCGAGCTCCAGAAAGTGGTGGGTGAGCTGGACTGTGACGGCAGGGGCCCTGTGGGCTTCCCCAAGCTCCTGGGCCTGATGGCCTGGAAGGTGAAGGCTGGGGACAGCAAGGACCACATCTGGGAGGCCTTCCGCGTCTTTAACAAGGACAGCAAGGTTCTGGTCAGCACAGCTGAGTGGTGGCACGTGATAACCCGGATGGGCAAGAAGCTGAACAACCAGGAGGTGGAGATGATCCAGGCAGTGCACGTGGACGCAGATGGGCAGGTGAACTGTGAGGAGTTTGTGCACCTGCTGGTCTCGAGTGAGGCCACTCTCCCAGCCCACCCCTGCCCGGATGTCCTGTCTCTGTTACCCCCGTCCCTCCAGGCACTGCTCCTTCTCCGACTGGCTGACCGATCCAGGTTTCCGCCCTGACTCCCTTTCCTGCCCACCTCCCCACCCTCTCCTCGTCAGGATGACCCAGGCTACTCCCAAGACCAGCAAACCTCAAATGCTCAATGCCTCAGGAGCAGACAGTCGAGGGGGGCCCTGGGTAGGGGTCAGAGGAAGACAGTCACAACCACATGTCCCCGGGGAAGGCCCTCTGCTCGGGACCCGTAACCAGCACCCCCATCCATCCACTCTGATTCAGGAGGAGGGGGTGGCCCAGGCCCTGGGCTGACCGGGGCTGACAACCATGTTCCGGCCTCCCTTCCCCACACACCCCCTGGTTCCTTTCTGTCTCCGCCAAACCATGGTGATTCATCTCTTGAAGCCAGGAGTCAGTTCCAATGGGTTTATATTCACCTTCTTGGAAGGAAATTTTAATGAAAGGGAGAAAGACCGCAGGGGAATATAGAAGACGCTTGCATTCCTGCCCTGTTTCTTTTTCCCTGGTTCAGACAGAAATGATCCTTGTTAGCTCCAAGAGGCAGAAATCTCTCTTTTTGTGCCTTTTGGAAATGTGATGAAATCTTGTACTGGTGGGCAGAGCAAAAAGAGGGGTCTCAGCAAGGTGAATCTTGAATTTTTATTTCAAATAAAATGGCTCAGTTGGCAGCAAAAGGTGGTTAGAAATCCACATAGAGCTCTAAGATCTGAGCGGATTGCAGGGTGGAAGGAACACTGGCCTGTGTCCGTGGTTTCCCTGCATTCACAATGGAGTTGCTGGGAAGTGTAGAGTGAAGACTCCAGCACTGGAGAGGCCCCCATGATGCCAGAGCAGTAAGAGACGTGCCTCCTGCGTTAAACCCTGGCTCCCAGAGGCATCAGATGACCCAGAGGCCAAGGGGCTTGTCAGAGACAACATCAGTGTTTCAAGGGGTGGACGCTACCCCAGGGCCCATCAGGAAGGGGTGCCAGCCCTGGGACAGTCACAGAGCCGCTGGGCCGTCTCCATGAGTCCTTTCCCGACACCCTCCCCACACGCACGGGTCCTCATGTGTAGAGGGGAGCACACGGGCTCTGGGCCTGGTCAGACTGGCATTTCTGGCCTTCTGGTGGTTGTTGCTGCCCCCACCAACTGGGCCAAGTCACTCGTCCTCCCTGTGGGGACAGCTGAACTCGGCACCGGGTCCCCCTGTGGGCACACTGCCTGCACAGTAACTCACAGCCGCCCTACAAGGAGTCGCCCTTCATCGCTTCCCCGTCTACAGAGGAGGAAGCCAAGACACTGAGAGCTTAAGCAAGCAGCTGAAAGGGCAGAGCTGGGGGTAGAGGCATGTCTGTGCCCCCCGACCTCGCTCCTGCCCTCCCCACCCATCGCCCCTGGGGCCTCCACGTGACCTGATGAGAACCGTGCCTCCTCCAGCACTTGTGAGGATATCATCTTCTTAACAGGCCCGGCATGCAGTAGGTGCTTGATAAATGGCAGCTACCATTGCTATCATCCTTCCAGCCCCAAGACTGCATGTCCACCCCTCGAAAATGTTCAAGGAAAGAGTTGGAATCTGGAACGGGAAGTGGTCCAGGCAGGACAACCACAGAGCCCCCTCCATGCAGGAAAGGGAGCTGGGGCTCTGACCATGGGGTCTCTTGGGTTCAGCCCCCTCCCGCCTCAACAGCCAGGGGTGGCTGAGAGCCAGCAGGCACAGACTTGGGAACAAGCCCGTAAGAGAGGATGGCATATCCAGATGCCATGGATGCAGCGCCTGCAATGCCGTGGGCAGAGCCCAGTGTCCATCACCTCAGAGGCTCATTTGGGCACCAGGGCCCCCCTGCCAAAAGAAGCAGTGACATCCCCCCCAGGGGCCTTGTGCCTTCCATGGCACATGCCCTCAGCACTGCGGGAGGAAGAGAAGCGGGGTAAGTGAGGGTCCCAAGTCTCCTTGCCTAGTCCACGGGTCTGCAGGCGCCAGCGTGGAGCTGGGGAGCTGGCATTCAGTGCCCCCCATCCTATGGGGTGCCCTGAAATATAGGGGTTGTGTGCCTGCCCGCACCTCAGCTGGAAGGGCTGGGGTATTTCTGTGCCTGCATTTAACAGGTTTTAGAGCCCTTCATGGAGACCCATGGGGCCAGGGCAGGAACGCGGCTGGTGTTGGAAAGACCTCCTGGTACTCCCGTGGGTTTGCTGGTGATGCCCAGAGGCTGGGCGGCAGGTGAAGGGTCCAGACAGGCTGGAACCACTGCCCCCTCCCCAGAGACAGCAGAGCCCTTCTGTTTTCAGCTCACCGCTCATGACCTTGAGCCTCGGGGAACCAGCACACATGGGTTGGTGATGCATGGGCCTCCCTTCTGCCAGCAGGTGCGAATCCGGCATCAAGGTCGAGGGGGATTGTGCCTCCCTGGGTTTTGCTTTCTTAACACAGTGCTTAAAAACGTTTTCCACAGTCCTGTCTCATTCCAGGAGAGTCATCGGCCAGCTTGGCTGCCTTCTGGCCGCTCTCCCCAACTGCCACGGTCAGAACAGGGATGCCGGCCAGAGGGGCACACAGAGGGCGGTGCTGCCTGAGGCTGGGGGTCCCCTGCCCTGGCTGGTGGGTCCACGCTGCAGTGGCCAAAAGCCCCTGACGACGGCTCACAGGTGGGGACCCCTTACGGTGCCCACCTGCACGCAGGGCACGGACCACTCCCATTCTGAGTCTCGCCAAGGACTCGGGCTCCTGGACTACACCCGCATCTGTCTTCAGTCTCCCCACCCCGTCTTCTTTTCCCTCCTCCCTCCCCACAGCACCAGGACCTGTCCCGTCCCCAGACACCCAGGTATTCATTTCACTAGTAAAATGCAGTCGCCGCATTTCTCAGGCGTGGGTCCCGGGTCTTACTGAGTACGATGGGGTGGTGGGGGGTCTAGAGCATCAGAAAGGACGCCCCACGCCCTCCTGGATGGGAGGGAGGCCCCGGAGACATGAGCGAGGAGCCCAGGCCTGTGGACCAGCCCGTGCTTCCAGAAGAGATGTGGAGCAGCCCCTCCACACCCTCGTTCCTTTTTCCTTTGGATCACTGAATAACTGCACTTACACCACCTCCCTTCATCCCCAAAAAGGTGCTTTCTGCTGCAGCTCAGAACATTCCATCCATCCTTGGGAAGGAATTTATAAATATTACCTCGGCTTCCATGGGCTTTCAGCAGGCCAGTCATAAATCAGCGCTGGGCTCCTGGACCTCCCAGGCTATATAAAGCTTCTCCTCTGCCTCCTGTTTCCAATTTTAAATCAAACTCAGCCCAGCCCCGCCGGCTCCTGGGGATCCTTGTAGATTCCAGGGGCCCTTCAAAGGCGCCCCAAACTGGCTGGCTAAAAATGACTCCACTGTTCCACTAGAGAAATTTAAAATTAAAACTCACGTGTGGGGTGGAGATTGCCCACGATGAATATGAATGGGGAATACGAGGTGTGTTTCTCCACCAGAAAACAAAGCAAAAAAAAAAAAAGGAAACACCTATCTCTGAGAAAGATCAGGGACCAACTCACCTGCTAACCTCCCTACCATCTTCTTTGTTTCTATAGCAACTGGGGTCTCGGACAGATGCCTGGACCCTCCCAGAGAGGGGAAGCAAGTGGTCAGAGGCCTCTCTTGGCCTCCCGACCAGATGCCAGGAGCTGGGGACCTCCTCCTAAGTACAGGGGACAGAAATGTCAGGGGCTGGTCCTGGGAGATGCACTTGAGTTAATCCGGAAAGGCTGGGAGGGTGTCCATGCCCAAAGGAGACAGCGCCCATGGGGACAATCAATCAGTGAAGGAGTTTCACATGGTTCCCTCAACACCTTCTCAAGGCTTCCAATCTTTCTAGCAGCTTCGGAGTTTCCAGGGAGGGGAAGGAGCCAGGCACTCAGTTCAGAAGGAAGGAGGCATCCAGAAGCTACTTGTTAGACTTGAAGAATCCTAGGTCTGCACACCACCTCGGGAGTCATCTGGGCTAGTTTCCCATCCAGAATGAAAGGCCCAGACTTGACAGAGGGCTGGTTTGCATCTCCTTGAACGTGTCCATGAGAGAGTTCCAGGCCAGTTGGCCAACAGTCAGATAATTCTTATCCTTAGAAAGCATTTCCTTACATGGGTCTGAAATGTGCATTTCTTCCTTCTGCCTACATCCTGGGTGAGGAGGGCACAGCAGCCCACTCCAGTATTCTTGCCTGGAGAAACCCATGGATAGAGCAGCCCGATGGGCTGCAGTCCACAGGGCCCCAAAGAGTCAGACATGACCGAATTGATTTAGCGCATGCGCACACATACCCTGCATCGACCCCAGAGCCCTGCTTTCTCTCTGTGTCAGTTCTCTGCATAGCTGTGGGGTCCATCACTTCTGCCCTTCACCCTTTCCTCTGCAAAGCGCCTCTCACTCCCTGCAGGATCTGTGTGATGCGTGTTCAGGCTGCCACACCCCTTGACACACTTCAGCTTTTCAAAGTCCTTCTTGGTGATGCGTCACTGGACCCCAGGGATGACCAGCGGTGACCAATGCCAATGAGAGTGGGGCCATATCCCCCCGTGCTGAATAGTGGTGGTGGTGGTTTAGTCACTCAGTCATGTCCAATTCTTTGCAACCCCATGGATTGTAGCCTGCCAGGCTCTTCTGTCCATGGGGATTTTCTAGGCAAGAATACTGGAGTGGGTTGCCATGCCGCCCTCCAGGGGATCTTCCCGACCCAGAGGTCGAACCCGGGTCTCCTGCCTTGAAGGCAGATTCTTTACTGACTAAGCCACCAGGGAAGCTCCCCTGTGCTGAAAACGGCATCTCTAAAAATGAAGCTCGGGGACCAAACCGGACTTGTGTGCAAATGATATGCTGCTCATTCAACTAGCATTGTTGACTGTGTACATGCCTGTGCCTGTGTGTGCATATGTGTATGTGCTAGGCTTCAGGGGACACAGAGATGATTAAGACTCAGGACCTCATGGTGGATGGAGGAAAGATAAGCAAGCAAGTGGTTACAAGACAGTGCCTGGGAGGTGGCGGGGGGTGGGCGGGGGGAAGCGGGCAAGTGGAGGAGGAGATGCCTTGTCATCCAGCAAGTCGGGGGTGGGGTGCAGAGGGGAAGGCAGACAGGCCTGGCCATTCCTAGGTGTCGGGAACAGCATGGGAACAGCACAGAGGCACAAACAAGCGACCACCTCCTGTCCATCCTTCTTATCAGATGCTCAGTCCTCCAGGAAGCCTGTCTTTCCAATCCCTGAGTTCCAGGCTGGGTCAGATCTCTTCTGATCTGGGAGCTTCTTTCCCCAGAAAGCACCACTGAAATTCACAGTACTGAATGGGGGAGATGACTACCCTAAAGGTATCGGTCCCTGGGGACAGGAGAGAACCCAGACATGAATGACCCCACTTCCTTGCTCCCTCACTGGGGGTCACTGGACAGGCCAGGGGACTGCCCTCAAGCCCCATCCTCAGTCCCCCCTTCCACAGTGGGTTGGAGGCCCCAGAATTTCTCTTTGAGCTGTCTCAGCTAGGGAAATAGACTTGATTGGAAAAGAAGTGCTAACAGCCCAGAAAGTGTGATCAGCCTGGGGTCTCCCTTCACCATCAGCACCACCAAAAGAGAGAAAGAAAATACCCCAAAAGGATTGGATTAAGGTCCTTCAATTCAGAAAGGGGTGGGAGGGGCAGTTAGGGGGCTTCCTTGGTGGCTGAGGGGTAAAGACTCTGCTTGCCAGTGCAGGAGACGTGGTCTCGATCCATGGGGCCCTGGAGGATCCCACATGTCACAGAGCAACCAAGCCCACAGGCCACAACTACTGAGCCTGTGCTCTGGAGCCCGGGAGCTGCAACTTGAGAGTAGCTCCTGCTCTCTGCAGCTAGAGAAAAGCCTTCATAGCAATGAAGACCCAGCATAGCCAAAAATAAAAAATAAGATTATTTTTTAAAAAAAGAAAGAAAGAAAGGGGGGAGGTTAGGTAGAAGCTGGTAAAGAGATGGTCTTCTAGGACCTCCCTGGTATTCCAGTTAAGACTCCACGTTTCCACTGTAGGAAACCTGAGTTCGATCCCTGGTCGGGGAACTAAGACCCCACAAACCTCACAGTGTGGCAAAAAAAAAAAAAAAAAAGATGATATTCCTTTCCAGGAAGAATTGAGCCACAAGAAATGGTTTTAAACATCCTCAGGGAACATTTTGATCTGGGTGAATCAGAGTTTCACAATAGCACAGATTCTGAGAGGCCGACAGAGGACCCCAAAAGAGAAAATACACCAGTTCAGGAGCACCACCTACATGGGAAGGGGGGCCATCCCTGTACCCTAAGAAGCCCCTCTAGCAGGCTCTGCAACAGGGGGTGGAGAGCAGACGCCTGAAGCTATTCATGAGAGCATTTCTAAGACATCCCAAGAGAGACCAGCTGCATTTCCAAGAACCAGGCTCTCCAAATAAAAATCTGGGTCCAAAGTCCTCTACGTAATTTTAAAAGTGGATTTTTGCTCCTTGGATCTGTAGTCTTTGCGGCCTTACCCAAGCCTCAGATTCTGCACAGTCACAGCTTCAAAAAATAATACCGTGTTCCCAGCGGGAATGCTCCGGGGCTGGAGAAGGACTCTTTGTAACCCAAAACCTGTGAGGAAACTTCAGTTCTGGCGCCAAGGCAAGGTCTCTACTGAAGGGAACAAAAACAGGCAAGGTTTTGCAACAAGCAAGTCCTGTGTTTAAAAAACTGCAGGGAATCAGGAGACTCCAAAGAACCAGATAAAAGCAAGATTTCTTTAACCTAGAACCTAGGGACTTCAAGGAGAATGAAGCTGGGTGTTGGAATCTGGTCCCGTCAACGTTCTCATGTCTAATCTCCATCAATCTGCTGGAAGCGGGGTGGTAGGAGGGGGACAGGACAGGTCCCTCATCCAGAACCACGTTGTCCTGTAGATAAAGCTTCAGTCAGAGTACCTGGAGAAGGAACTTTTTGTTCAGTTGCCAAGTCATGTCCAACTCTTCGAGACCCCATAGACTGCAGCACACCAGGCTTCCCTGTCCTTTGCCATCTCCCAGAGCATGCTCAAACTCATGTCTGTTGAGTCGGTGATGACATCCAACCATCTCATCCTATGTCGCCCCCTTCTCCTCCTGCCTTCAATCTTCCCCAGCATCAGGGTCTTTTCGAATGAGTCAGCTCTTCACATCAGGTAGCCGAAGTATTGGAGTTTCAGCAATAGTTCCTCCCAATGAATATTCAGGGTTGATTTCCTTCAGGATTGGCTGGTTTGATCTCCTTGCTGTCCAAGGGACTTTCAAGAGTCTGGAGAAGGAATTATCAGATACTGATTTCAGTGTGTGTTTCATTCATTCATTTGTAAATCTTACAACTATTTGTTGACTGCCTGCTCCATACCCGGCACTATGTTGTTTACTAGAGATGAGAAACACCTGCCTTCATGTAGCTAATGTTTAGCAAAAGCACCACAGGTGGGCTGCAGAACGAAACCATCTCCAGGACCGGAGACCATGTGTCCCCCAGGGGATGTGGCTGCGCCGCAACCCACGCACACTATGTCACCACGTGTGTCCCTGACAGACAAGAACCTCAGTATTGATTAGGCCTTGAGAGGAACCAAATCCTTACTGTGTTACATCTGATAGTTGCAAGAATTTTTTGCAGCTCAGCCTCAGGCTCCATAAATGTGGAGCTTCATTTCTGTTCACTGCTCTGTCCTCCCAGAGCCCTGGCATCACCCATGGCCTTTGTGGTCCTATGGCTGTAGGACCACAGGCCTCTGGTGGGAGGTGCGTCCCTGAGGCCGCGTCTATACCAGGACATGTGTGGATGGTGTAACTGTACACGGAGTGACCGCAACCTGCCTAAGTCAAGGAGGAAAG